CATGAGTCCATTCGTGGGACTCTTTTTGGACCTTGAAGTTATCAAATAATCTGGCCCTGAGTGAACAGATGAGATGGACGTCAATTAAATGACCCCAATTGCACTTGTATCAAGAGCTTCTCAATTTTACAACTCTTGATCCTGTTTACAAACCTGGGAGGATAACTGGTGCAGTTAGGAAGCGACTAATCGCCCCCTCAGGAGAAGGATGTGACATCAATTTGCCTTGCAGTGAACTCTTGAGTGGCAGAAACAGAATTTGCATCCCCCTGAGAAGGTGAGCGCCAAACGCTTACGCTCAAAGGACGATTAACCACAACCAGAGACGAAAAAGCCCCGCATTTATTATTTTGACATGTATATTATTTCATAGTTCAGATGCCCTGATATAGTGAGGTTGCTGTTGTCATCAAAGTAGGAATTTTGCACCCGACAACGTCAATATCTATCAATCAATTGGAAACTCTTCAGTAACCCGTTATGACTGCCGCTGAGGATATTCCAGAAGAGGGTCCACAGGTACCATTCCAAAGATGCATATTCCAGCCGGGATTGTTGCATGTTATCTGAAAACGTATTGGAGCAACTCCTGGCTGGTGGGTGCAGCCATAGGAGATCATCTTTCTGAAATGCCTCACAGGAGACTTACTTCTCAAGTCACAGATTTGTGTTGTTTGCCTACTTGACAAACTTACTCTCAGAGTGATTACCGATTAGGTCCTCAGATTGTCAGCTGACCTTAAAGATCATTCTCCAATTAAACCAATCGACTTTGGCAAGAGAGATGGATTTATTTGGTCGAGTTCAAATAGGTATGAAACACATAATTCAGTACCCTCATATGGGAAGGTTGCTACGGTTAATAAGATGGGAATCTTTCCTCTGAACATTGACAACCTCAATATTGCAATAATGAAATCTCTTCATTATGGCAACCGTAGAGGTTCTTTCTGAAGATGGTGCACAGGTACGATTCTACAAGTGCACATCCTGGACTAGAAGACTACAGAGGCTTGAGATGAGAAAGTTCAAGACAATTAATTTCTGTGGAGTTTGAGGCTTATACCTTTCTTGTTCTAGAGTTGCCAAACATCAATATCTTGATTGAATTTGTAACCTGGAATTGAAGTCTCTTTTTTACTTCAGGCTTCAGACCAAGACTCAAAACACATCCATCCACTTTCTCTTGCTTTTTGGATCTGAATGTACCTAGGCTCTCTTCATCGATTCTAAATGGCGAATCCTTGGAAAACAATACCTTATTGTATTTTGTGTAGCAAAACATAGGAGCAATATAGTAATGACTAAAATATTAGTTTTTCCAACTCAGGCATCATTCATTACAACAAAAAACTTACGACACAACATAAATGTTATCATTGAAAATCAATTATCCTAAGGCTATGAATCCACCTTTAAACAGTCTCCACTCCAATTTGTTGGATAAACTTCTTGGACAAAGGATGGATAGGCTCAGAATTCATTTTTGAGGAGAGATGAGATCTTTAACAGATGTTAACTTGATGTTGAATCAGGAATGTACTGTTTTTATCTCATCGGAATCCAGCTCTTCAAGTAATTCGTTCCCGATGATTAGTATAAATAGTACATCATTTATTCAACGAGCGAGAAATGATTTACTATAAAGTTGTATTAACCATTTCTCTCAAGTAGAATACTATACTTTTTCTATGGCTTACGCCAGGAATATTTCAAAATGAGATTCATTTGTGAAGGATATTCCGAATGATATTAATGTCATTGAATTCAATAACAAGAAGCAACCTAAAATCATACAAATATACTTCCTGTTATTGTTATCTTATTCAATTTAAAGAAGTTTGAACATTGTTTAGTCCGTTAGTAGGATTTGAATCCAAACCTCTGGTTTACCAGTCCCATGCTCTACTCTATTTCGTTATTGAGTGATACACTTTCGAAAAATATAAATTTATTTACTACATTACGAAGTTCTGGTGAGATTAACTCATTTTACTTTTCGAGTTAACGTTTTGATTCTTAATTTTCATTGGAAACTATATGACCCTCTGCAGTGAATAGGTATACAAAACAATTTTTCATGATATTATCATTTGTTAACAGACGTCATTTCGAAGTGAATGAACTAGAAAAATTAACTACGTCCCTGTGCAATGTATTCGCAATTATTCTAATGTGGTCAAACAATGAAAATTAATAATAACAATAGCAATAGCAACGAGCTCTGCAGGTAGCCAAAACTTACTTCCGAAGGTACGTGAATGAGTCACTGGTTTACTACCCTGTGGTATTGAGGGTCGTCATGACATGCCGAATTGTGGTGAATTTTCAAGTGGACAGGTACAATAGGAACATTTCCTCTTTAATAAATGCATTGGATTCAACTGAAAGAATATTGCGGATTTTCCAAAGCCGATTTTGTAATCAGTGAAGTGTTGTTCACTGAACACGGTGACACATCGTCCTTTAAGGATACTCTGAAATATCTGAGTACTCAATAGTTGTTCCTTCAGTTTTTCAACTATTTTATTGTAGGCGAGTTTACTATTCGTCAAGTTGCTGTCAGTTCTTTTTCTAAAAGAGTATCTCAAAATTAAATTTTGTTTGCAATTATTTTTTCAATTTTTGTTGGCATCTGTTGTAACAACACTTCTTATTGACATCTACAGCATAAAACGAATCTACATACAAAATTGCACCCTACGAAAATATAGCGGTACGGAGAAAAATTTATGAAATTGTAATTTCCATATGTAAACGCGCCCCTTTTATCCTCAGTAGAGGAGCCCCAGTTGGAATATTTGAAAATCCTTTCTTATCGCACGCCTACAACATAAAATAAACCTACATACAAAATTTCAGCCTCCGAAAATATAGCGGTACGGAGAAACAGTGACGAAAAGTTAACTTTATTTTATGAACGCGCCTTTTCCGCCGCGACAGGCGCCTCAGTCAGAATATTTGAGAATCCTTTCTTATTGCACATCTACAACATAAAAAGAACCTACATACAAAATTTCAGCCTCCGAAAATATAGCGGTACGGAGAGACAGTGATGAAAAAGTAATTTTTATATGTAAACGCGCCCCCCTTTTATCCTCAGTGGAGGAGCCCCCTTTGAAATATTTTAAAATCCTTTCTTATCACATGTTTACAACATACAACAAACCTACATACAAAATTTCAGCCTCCGACAATATAGCGGTACGGAGAGACAGTTCCTTTGAAATATTTTAAAATCCTTTCTTATCACATGTCTACAACATACAACAAACCTACATACTCCGACAATATAGCGGTACGGAGAGACAGTGATGAAAAAGTAATTTTTATATGTAAACGCGCCCCTTTTATCCTCAGTGGAGGAGCCCCCGTTGGAATATTTAAAAAACCTTTCTTATCACACGCCTAAAACATATAACAAACCTACATACAAAATTTCAGCCTCCGAAAATTGAGCTTTACGGAGAGACAGAGATGAAATGGTAATTTTCATATGTAAACGCGCCCCCCGTTTATCCTCAGTGGAGGAGCCCCCGTTGGAGCGTTGGTTTACACAACCATCATGGGAGCGACAATTATGACACGGATAGTAAGAGTTTTTTTCCCCCTTGTTATGGAACCTCATAATTTTCTTGTCCAGGGTTAATATAAGTAATGAAGAGATACGTGCAGCAGGTTCCGAATATCATAACTGGATAGGCCGATGGTGAATGGCTCAACGTAAGCCCAGTGAGATCGCATTCACCACAAGAACTAGAACACAGAGCCTAGGACACCTAATACGTCGGGATGAAGAGATACATCTATCGGGGAAGGTCGAATGTCTGTGAGTGATACTAGTTCTGATGTGCAGAAAGAATTGAAAGAAAAGCGTAGACGGCACTGATGTCGGCAAGAGGAACCTCTAAGAAGACGCGGGTGTTGAAACCAGACATAACTGGCCAGAATTTCAACTATTGGATCTATCCTCACCAAAACTAAAGATATTCCAGGATGTCAACTTTCAGACTTAAATATTGTACACCATGCTCTAATTGCAGTGAAAAATATTGAAAGATAGGATAATTTCATATAAAAGTGATTGTAGATTAAGTCCCGGAAGATGTGCTTTGAGTGATCATGTTTATTAAGAATGTCATTTTATGAACTTCAATACCACAGAGATATGGGAGAGTTCGGAAATGAATAGCTGAAAATAACAAATATATCAAACAAAAAACTTCGAAATAGAATCAAAATTAAATCGAATACAACCAAAAAATTGAAAATTGAGTGATCAAACGCACGCCTACAACATACAACAAATCTACATACAAAATTTCAGCCTCCGAAAATATAGCGGTACGGAGAAACAGTGATGAAAAATTAACTTTATTTTATGAACACGCCTTTTCCGCCGAGACGGGCGCCTCAGTCGGAATATTTGAGAATCCTTTCTTATTGCACATCTACAACAAAAAACGAACCTACATACAAAGTTTCAGCCTCCGGAAATATAGCAATACGGAATATTAGAAAATGCTTTCTCAGTGCGCCTCTAAGATCTAAGAAGCACCTTCGTATCAAATTTAAGCTTCCTAGGACTTACCAGTACGGAGAAATGGAGATGAATGAGTGAGTATTTAGTGAGTGAATTTCTCATTTATGAGAATAGATTTTCTCTAGATTTAGATAAGGATAGTCTATTTAGAATAATCATCTTGGTTCAAAAGTCAATGTAAGCCTAATATGTCCCAATTTGTAAGTGAATTTTGTTATTGAAATAAAGGAATTCATTTTATTTTTTCTGTTCTTGAAAATTGAAAAAAATATTTTTTGTACAGTCTATTTGTTATAATATAACCGTATCATCAGCAAAAAATGTGAATTTTTGTAATAGCGATTATCGTTTTCAATTCCGATTACTTCTTTAACGATTTGTTACTTGGACGCCCGTGGTCGAAATTCCTAATTTCACCCTATTCGAACAATCAAAATATTTCTAAGAAATCACCTACCTGGTACTTCTTTATGCTGTCCAACTGTTCCTTCGTCGGTTCTACGACCGTCGTGGGTGAGGGAGTCTGGGGGGCAGGGGCTGGGGTGATGTTATTGTTATTTGTAATTCTCGCAGGTAACTGTGGAGCAGGTGCCCTGTTGACTAGACGGCCATCTTTCTCGATTTTCAGATGATCCCTCGGCGGTGGTACAGGTTTGGAATTCAAATCTGGTAACGGGGGTTGGGGGATGGTGGTGCCATTCAGTCCGCTCTGCAAAAATGGTGCATTTTATAGATACGATGAATAGAAATGTAAACAAAAGGGATGAATCTGAAAAGAAATTTTTTATGGGAACCTTTGATAATCTTACAGAAAAAAAAATTTGATTTTTATTTTTCCCAGAAACTGAACTTTTTAGCTCAACTGAAAATTGTAATTTTTAATTCATCTGGATCTTCATCTATTGACACATTTTAAACACTTTTACTTGTATAACAATGTTTTTTATCAACTTTAGCAAATGAAAAATCAACATCAGCAAATGAAAAATATTGGAAAACTATGGAATATACTCTTGATTAACATTTTTCATAAAATTTGCTTAATCGAAATTGGTAATTTTCATTTTGTTGGACCTTCTATCTATTGATTGATACCAATTGATAATATTTAGGTCTTTTTGCTTGTGAAATATATGTTTCTATACCATAATTCCAAAATAGTAAGTATGCACTAAAATCTCAGAAACGACTGATGTTTTGGCATTATTTTGGCGTATGGAAAGTATACTAAACCGATGAGGAAAAATTATGATAAAATCTATACAGTGCATTCCATTTAAAACGAGCCACCATGAATAACTTTTGGTACAATAATTTTCAGGAAAATAAAAAAAAACACGTCAACAATAGTATACAGGAAGACACATTTCGACATATTCACATTTGATGTTACTTCCCCTATCGCACCCCCAGAGCATGTCACCAATTATTTTTAAATGGATCACCCTATATTGTTTCGCATTATCAGATGCTCCATGATGAGCAGATTTCAACAAAGTATAAAACATATGGTCTGAAGCTTATGGTTCGGGAACTACTAATTATTTGGGTCGAAAACGATCCACCCTGAATAACCTTTGAAACAATGATTTGCAGGAAAAATAAAAAACAGGTCAACAATTATACCGGAAGCCACATTTTGAAAAATTCGTTCTAGAGACAAATATGGAATCAATAATCAGAAAAAGAGAGTTTTCATTAATTCTTGAATCAAAATCTGATGACTGGACAATGAGAAGAAAAAAAATTTCTATAGTAAATGTTCAAAAACGTTTCCACCAACTTCCATACAATGGTACAAACGAGCTTCTTTTACCGCCCTCACATGGTTGAGAATCTCGGGAGTTATTTCTCTGCAATTCCTCATGATATTCTCTATCAAATCTTGTAATGTTGTTGATTTTATATTTTAAACTTTAGACTTCAAATGACCCCATAGAAAGAAATCTAAAGGAGATCCGGAGACCTTGGTGGCCATTCTGTATGACCTCTTCTGCCAATCCAGCGACCAGGAAAATGATTATCCAAACTTTGTCACACTGGAGCTGCATAATGAGGAACATTCCTGCCCAAACATTCAGTTTTTGAGGTATGAACTTGACGGTATAAATGAGTATTCGTATCACTCCAATATCGACAATTTTGCCGATTCACCTTTCCATTCAAACTAAACGTACATTCATCCAGAAAACAAATTTTATACAAGAAATTCTGATACAAGTTGATCCGTTCAGTGAGACTTTCACAAATCTCGATACGTCAATCGAAATCATCTTCGTTCAATTCATAAACTAGTCTAATCTTATATGGATGAAATTTGTACTCATGAAGGATCCTGAAAACATTTGTACGACTGATTCCTGATTCTCGAGGAAAGATATTGCGAATTTTCCATTAGTCCAACGTGCCCTAAAAAACTGCAGTACAAATAGCTCCATAGTTGACAACTCCTGAACGGTTATGCTTTTTATTGTTAACAGATCCAGTTTCCATAAATTTGTACGGGCAGCAGCTCTTGCACTATTTCCACTCTGGTAGTACAAACGATTTTGAAGCGGTGTATGAAATAGGGACGCAGATTCACCACTGAGATTTTTTTTGATCTCAAACTTTGCGTAAAAGTACGAATATAAAATCAATTGCGAAATGAATAAGTTACCTCACCTTGTTTGATGTAGTATAGCAGAAGGATATTATATTGTAGGAGTGAAAGTTCCTTATTAGACAAGGAAAAATCGCACATGTAACTTTGTGGGTTCGCACCACGACGTAATTGTATTGCAGTTTTTACACTCGAACACAACGAAAAAGGTTTTTCGTCTCTCTGCTCCTCTCTTTGAATATATTTCGAAACGACCAATTCGAGGAGACAAAACAAGGACAGGATCGGCATGAGTAGATTTGAATAGTAGGAATAAGTAGTAGGATTTCATCAAAGTAAGGTTCTTGAAAAACAACAATTTAAATTATTTGTCCGCATAAATTGTAAATGCAACCTAAAACATATTTACAAGTAGTGTGAATCAAAAATAATAAAAAAAGAAATGAAAATTTAATGTTTGGTAATGTTTCTCAAGAATTCACAAAAACAGAAACATCAATTGTAACTTCATCTGGTAGGTAATCGGTTGATTGAGACAAATACAAAATGAAGAGAATATCTAATTCAAACTTAACTAGACAAAATAAGACTTTTTTGAAGTATACTTCGCAAAAAAACCTATGAAACCAATGTAACAGATTGTACAGAAGTTCATTTAGGGTGGCTAGTTTTCAACTCAAATAATTTTTAGCTTCCAAACTGAGGCTTGAGACCATAATGTATTCTACTTTGTTGAAATCTGTTCATCGTGGAACATCTGATAATGCAAAACAATTGATCCATTAAAAATAATGGTGACATGCTCTGAGGGTGCAATGGGAAAAGTTAGATAAAATGTGAATATGTCAAAAAATGACCCTCTGTATATTATTGTTTATTGTATTCCTGAAAATTATTGTTCCAAAAGTTAATCAGGGTGGCTCATTTTCAAGTCAAATAATTTGTAGCTTCCGAACCATAAGCTTGAGACCATATGTTATATACTTTGTTGAAATCTGCTTATCATGGAACATCTGATAATGCGAAACAATATAGGGTGGTCCATTAAAAAAATTGGTGACATGCTCTGGGGGTGCGATAGGGGAAGTAACATCAAATTAAACAAGACATTCTTTGCTTTAAGGCAAATGAAATCATGCATGGACACAGCAGGTCTACTAGAAATCTATTTTGCTAAGGCATATTCACATATATCCCTCAATATCATAGCATGGGGTTTCAGTAATGAATTCATCAGAGTATTCGTAGCACAAAAGCGCATAGTTAGACTAATTTTCAGCATTGAACACCGAGACAGCTGTAAACCAGTATTCGTTAGGGAAAAATTATTACCGGCTCCCTCCATATACATTCTTAAATGTATAGGATTTGCTAGATCTAACATCCATGAACTAGAAACAAACGCAACGGTGCACAGTTACAACACACGTCATGGTGATGTTTTGCGTATTCTAAGTCATAAGTCAACGAAATATAAAAAGTCCCCTTTGTATAATGCCATAAATCTGTATAATAAATTAACAGAGCAGATCAAACAAATTACCTATGATAAAGTGTTTCATTGTAGAATAAAGCAATTGCTGCATAAATGTTACTATAGTTGTGATGAATTCCTGGAAGCTGATTTCCGTTGAGCAATGATTTTACTTATTTTTTTCCTCTTACTATTATTTAGTGTTAACTTCGACGCCTGTTCCATATTTTTACTAAGGAATTTATATACGTGTCTTGTCTATATATGTGTATGTATGTGTGTATGTTTATATATGTGGGTGTGTGTATGTGTGTATATATGCATATATGTATATACACATATATGATAAATGAAATACCTACCTATTTTAATCGTATCACACTGTTATTATGTTCTATATATATATATATATCTTTTTATTGCAATATTTCTGAGAATTTAGTGCCTTCTATTATGGAATTGTACTATACCAATTTTAGTATGCTTTATGAAGAATCAAAAAAAGACAGAATGTACGATACATGTCCCTTAGATGTTATTACATAAATCTAAGTCGCTAATGAAATTTGATCCTCTCAGAATCAAAATGATTTCACATTTCATAAATGAATATATGACTTATCAAATGTTCCACTCCTTAAATCGTGCCTTTTATTACAGGGGCGTTAGTAACAACACTTCCAGAACGGTAGTGATTCATAATCTCCGCCTTTAGATTCAATAACAGACAAATACTGTTATATTCTACTTAGATTGCATTATACACAATTATATCGAGTGGGTAGTCGCAGTAAATGTAATAACAATAGTACTATCAGTTTTAGAAACTGACGTACAGCTTGTCAATACAAGGAAGAGACTTGAGAATTATATCCATCTCTCTCTCACACAGTCTTTGAAGTCGCTTCCTAAATTTGACAGGCTGTACATCAAGTTTCAAAAACTGCAGCGCTCTGGATTGTCCCTAGAGTTCAAGTTAAAAAGTACCGACATGTTGAAATAAAGGTTGGGTAATCAAAAATTCACCGCAAAGCCAAGTGCTAGGGACAGATTTGTAGGCAAAAATCCAAAAGCACTTCAAGTTCGTGGGGAGATGGGTTTAACCCTTAAATGGTAACGTCAAATTTTAGAACACATCTGGTAACATGCCGTCTGTGAGACTGGGAAGTTTGGAAAACGTACAATAAAAGCAACTTTCACTTTTTTCCCCGAATTTTCATCAACAGTGCTCATATTTTATGGCTCTCTAACACACCCCTATAGGAATACTATATTGTTCAAAAGAAAAAAAATTATGAACTAAAATGTCAATCAATAAAATATAATTCTGAAAAATCTACAAGTTTTATTTCAAAGTCAAAAAAAGTACATAAATTTCAAATGTAATAAACTTGGATTAATTATTAAAAAAAGAAGCCATGAAGAAACGAATACTGAAAAAAAACTTTTGAATTTTGAAACACATCTCTAAAAATGTTGGCGAATGCCAAACTAATTGATCTTTTATGCAACTCTTACATTTTGGCTTGGAACACTGTAGACATACTGGCTTTCTACATTGCACATTCGATGGGTAGTTTTGTGACATAAAAAACACACTTTTCGCTTCTCCAAAGCAAAATTTTCATTTCCC